GTGACCACCTGAGGGCGCTGTAGTGCATCAGGACCAATGACTGTAAAAAATATGGACGACGCGACAGCCCTTTTTCCCATTGAACGCCTTGAGGGCAAAACGCCTGCTTGACGGGCACAAACTGTCGCAAAAGACTGCTGAAATTGGAGCCAGACATGCGCAGAAGGATTGTCTGAGGGAGCCAGAGGAGGAGCCGCGAAAATGAGCAGAGTCGAGCTTCCAATCAAACGCTTTATGTAAAATCAACTACGCCCCCCGAACTTCTCAGCATGCGTTTGCTGTCATATCAACACAAATGGATGTAATAACGTTAACAAATATGAGGGTTTTATACATTCAATCGCGCCAGCTCCAGGCCGCAGCGCATAACTTACTCGCGGCGTCGCGGGCTGATTCCGGCTCGCATGCGGCAGCGCCGGCTCGCTTGGCCGCCGCATCTGGCTCGATTGACTCGGACTGGAATCGGGCAGTGAGTCCAGGCATCCGGAGTAGGTCCAGCAGAGGTAACATTAGTCAGTCTGAGCTCTAAGAGATAAGTCTCCGGCAGGCGAGAATCTAGCCGGAACTGTGTTTTGCTATCTGGGTGGCTAGGCATGTATCAGCAAACTAATAAAGCCCGAAAAAAGCCCTGAACTTAGCGAATAAACAGTGTTCCACCAGGATCATGTATGTCAGAAACTATAGATTACTGCTGAACTCATTTTGTCATCGTAAAATAACACAGAAATCGAATAATAACATTTCAGTCTACTTCAGTCTCCTGCCGAAGCTCAGACGCCGCGCTTTGAGAAACTGTCAATCACAGCTGTCAATCACGATGACACGCCCAGCATTAAATTACTGCTAAAACAAACTGTTTACAAAAATGAAGATCTGCACCTATTTCAGCACAATAACCAGTGCCTTAATCGACCAGAACCATCTTTCAGGACATTTTATTGCAAGTGTAATATTTTTTTTTATTTGGGCTCAAGTCTCCTTCATTAACACGGAGGAGGCGGGCTTTATGACTTGTACTGCAGCCAGCCCCCAGGGGGCGATCTAACGGCCGAAACCTTCACTCAAACGTAGGCTTGCGGCACACTTGATCAGGACTCAGAAGGCACTACAGCGTCCCAGAAAGACTACAATTCTTTACTAACCACGCGCATACACCGGAACACATACACTGATCTGTCATCACATCTGTTCTGTGTTACCGTTGATTATCTGGACTATATATTCCATCATTCCACCGTTGTTTGTTATCGCGTCGTTTGTCTTCCTTGTCTTGCTTTCCTGAGCCTTGTCTCTGTTTTAGTTTCTGGTTTTGTCGTTTGTTTGTTACTTTGTATTCTGATCACCTTGTTTGATGCACTGTAAATAAATAATCTGCACTTGGATCCGCACACTTTTTGTTTCTCTGTTTTGATCACGCCTAACGTGACATAATATAATATATAATAAGTAATATAGTTTTCATAAAAATGATAAACACTTGCTTTAGAACGATAGAAATATGAAATACAATCAGGAGCAACGCTCTGCACAACCTACCCTCATCAATACACAGCAGCATTGTGAGGGGGGGAGGGGAAAAGACGAACTACAGCAACACAAGAGGTACAAAAAGGGGCGATGTGCAGGTTAAACATTGCCATGGTAAATAAATGAAAATGACTCCAAAATGCGTTCTCAAAATGATAAAATTCACAAATATGAAATAAAATCTTTAAATAAATAAAAATCACAATATAATTTGAAAATGTTATAATTTTAACAGAGTGTAATTGAAACTCTGTTACACATGCGCCATGGGTTACACCGGTCTCTTGACGCAAAAGTATAAACCAGGCTTTAAAGTCATGTCTCGTCTTCAGTTTCGGGCTCAGGCACACTTTGCACTCACACTACAAGCGTACCGCACCAAAGCCCAAGTGAACCGCACTCAGGCACACCTCTTCCAACCGGGCCAGGACCAGCCAACTGAACTGCACCTGAGCCCAATTCAGCGCTCTAAGAAAGTGTCTGGTGCAAATGTACAACTTAGTACCAAGAAGTGTCTGATAAAGTGTCAGAGACATGAAAGAGTGTGTTTTCTACAGGTGGTTTGTCAAGCCCACTCACCAGTGTAAGACACACTCAGAAATGCACAGTATTTTTCTCGAGATGTGGAGTGTTTGCAAGAACGTGTCTGGTGCGAATATATAAAACCTTGTGCAAGTCTCTGAGAGATGAAAGAGTGTGTTTTCTACAGGTGTATCTAAGCTTGTTCCTCATGCTGTGTGGTATAATGAACAGTAGCTGGCTGATCAGGTCACTAATATGCTTCTTCACACACGTGTGACTTTCACACCCTTCACAACACAACTTCCTGATTAACACAAACGGTTGCAGTGAGAAATAAAGCGTGATGCAGCGTCTTCCTCCTGCGAGGGGGAAGTCAAGCGCTTATAGACTGCCAGAGCAGTGTGTGTGTGGGTGTGTGGGACTTCATGAAGACACCATTAAACCCGAATGATCATCTCCTGACGGACACTGCAGATCTGCTGAGCTGTAAGTCCAGCGAGATGCTTTGAGTTTACATCTGACAGTGCTGATATTGAGGGAATATCAGTGTACTGCTGTATTTAATCTCTCTGTATGGCTTTATGATGAGGATGTGTTAGTTAATACATTAGGAGTCAGCTAACATTAACAAGCTGAATATATGAATATAACAGCCCATGTTCACTATTAGATCATGTATTAATATGTATATTTAGTTAGTGTTGATGAAGATGAATGTCTGACAGATGTGATGTGTGCTGTTGATGTTAATTGGTGTATGAACTAATGCATCGTCATTGTAAAGTGATAGTAATGTTTGTTTATTAGGGTATTACGATGAGGAGGAGTTTGTTGTACTGAATGAGTGTGTCGTGTGTCGTGTGTGTCTGTACAGAGAGGTTTAGTGATGTCTCTTCTGCTCTTTCTGCTTCATTTCTCTGAGATTCAGCTGAATATTAAACGGCTGGTGTCACTATGACTCTATCTGCTATTGTTTGGAGTGTGTGTGTGTGGTTGTGTGTGAGTCGGTGTGTGTGTGAGAGAGAGAGTGTTTGTGTGTGTGGATGAATAAGGCCCAATCCCAATTTTATTTTCGTACCCCTTCCCGCTCCCCTTGGCCCTTGAAACAGAGTGTGAAGGGAAAGGGCTTCAAAATGTACCTGTTACAGCAAATTCCTTGCTGATTTCGCTGTCCCCAGCAGGTAATGTTCTTAGACGTGCGACACTTGCTTGAATTTCCATCCATTTTTATTTTTGCTTCCAAAACAAAATAAAATAAATTAAATACATTACTATATTACAAATTCAGGGCTCCGCCATAAGAATTAATACAGCACTGCTGCAACTGCACGCATCATCATATATCATCACGATCTCTTTCTTCATATGAGATCAGATGATGGCGACTGCTTTAATAAATTCAGTTGCTTTATTTTTTGGTATTTATCTTCAGGAACTCACTGAAGGCATATATTATGTTATTATAACCGTCTAATGTGGCAATAAGATCATAACTGTACTGTGCATTTACACAGTGGCCATTTTCATCTATGTAAACGCACCAAAAACAACAATTATAGCAGACACCGTAAAAAGATCATTCCCAGACACTAGACTTCTCTGACAGGGGATTCGAGTGTCATCGAGTGTCAGAATGTTGTGGGACTGCTGTACAGGAGTTATGATTATGGATTATAGATCGTGAAATTTAGCGGTTTTTATTTTAGCAAGTCAGAATTATTCGCCCGCCTTTGATTTTTTTTCGTCTTTTTTAAAAATGTTTACCAAATGATGTTGAACAGATTCAGGAAATGTTCACAGTATGTCTGATTATATTTGTTCTTCTGGAGAAAGTCTTATTTGTTTTATTTCGGCTAGAATAAAAGCAATGTTTTAAACACCATTTTAAGGACAATATATTAGCCCCTTTAAGCTATATATTTTTTCGATAGTCTCCAGAACAAACCATCATTATACAATAACTTGCCTAATTACCCTAACCTGCCTAGTTACCCTAATTACCCTAGTGAAGCCTTTAAATGTCTCTTTAAGCTGTATAGAAGTGTCTTGAAGAATATCTAGTCTAATATTATTTACTGTCATCATGACAAAGAGGGGCGAAGCAGTGGCGCAGTAGGTAGTACTCACAGCAAGAAGGTCGCCGGGTCGCTGGTTCGAGCCTCGGCTCAGTTGGCGTTTCTGTGTGGAGTTTGCATGTTCTCCCTGCATTCGCGTGGGTTTTCTCCGGGTGCTCCGTTTTCCCCCACAGTCCAAAGACATGCGGTACAGGTGAATTGGGTAGGCTAAATTGTCCGTAGTGTATGAGTGTGTGTGTGGATGTTTCCCAGCTGGAAGGGCATCCGCTGTGTAAAAACTTGCAAGATAAGTTGGAGGTTCATTCCGCTGTGGCGACCCCAGATTTGTAAAGGGACTAAGCCGACAAGAAAATGAATGAATGAAGGAATGAATGAATGGCTAAGATAAAATCAATCAGTTATTAGAGATGAGTTATTAAAACTATTATGATTAGAAATGTGTTGAAAAAATCGTCTCTCTGTTAAACAGAAATAAACGGGACGAATAAATCTGACTTCAACTGTAGCTAAATTGTTATAGCTAGCTTTTGTTAGTTTTATATTGGTTTATTTATTTAATTCTTTAAATGATTTTAATATAGCTTAAGTTATTTTATCTAGATATAACACTACTGCTTTGAGCCTGCAAAAGTGAACACGTCATTTGTAAAGTAAAAGAAAAAAACTGCAACTGCGTTAAATTTTTTACGCATGAAATATTTCAAATTAAGCGTTAATTTTGGCAGCACAAAAAAAAGAGAGTGTGTGTGTTTGTGTGTATGTGTGTGTGTGTGTGTGTGTGTGTGTGTGTGTGAGTGAGTGAGTGAGTGTGAGAAAGTGTGTGTGTGTGTGTTAACATTTCTGAAACTGAATAAGCACTCCACGTTTGTCTTTCAGCTGTCTCCTGACCTCTCCTACATTTCCCATGATGCTAATGGCTGGCAGCTGAGTCAGGTGATCTGTGCTGTTTTATTTACTGTTTCATCATCATTATTTTCATTCATTCATTCAGAGTGTAGAAGCAGTGTGTATAAAAGTGTGTCTGGGTTTATTTTTGAATGTTTTTGGGCTGTTTGCATGTGATCCAGCATAATCCGCAGCATATGGAGGAATCACAGGCCTCTGCGGGGGTTTGAGTCTGTCTGATAAGCTTATTTTGAGCAGATACTGCTGTAAACGAGATTGCTAATTGAGTTGAGTGCTTTGAGGAGAGACAATTAAAGAGAACATTACTGGAAGAGAGACGGTGTAATGCTGATGGAGAGACTGGACTGAATGTCTTCTCGTCTACACTGTAAAGAAATCAGTTAATGAACTAATGAACCGTCTTATTTTTTGTGTTGTGTTTATTTGTGGTGGTGAATTGCATTATGGGATGTTGATCTCTGCTCTGTCCACTTCTGATGTTGAAAATTCAACTCTACAGTTAAACAAAGTGACTTTCACTGACATTGTAGTCTAAAATAATATAATTTATAAACTATATCTATCTATCTATCTATCTATCTATCTATCTATCTATCTATCTATCTATCTATCTATCTATCTATCTATCTATCTATCTATCTATCTATCTATCTATCTATCTATCTATCTATCTATCTATCTATCTATCTATCTATCGTTATATCTTTCTATCTATCTATCTATCTATCTATCTATCTATCTATCTATCTATCTATCTATCTATCTATCTATCTATCTATCTATCTATCTATCCATCCATCCATCCATCCATCCATCCATCCATCCATCCATCCATCCATCCATCCATCCATCCATCCATCCATCCATCCATCCATCCATCCATCTATCTATCTATCTATCTATCTATCTATCTATCTATCTATCTATCTATCTATCTATCTATCGTTATATCCATCTATCTATCTATCTATCTATCTATCTATCTATCTATCTATCTATCTATCTATCTATCTATCTATCTATCTATCTATCTATCTATCTATCTATCTATCTATCTATCTATCTATCTATCTTTATATCCATCTATCTATCTATCTATCTATCTATCTATCTATCTATCTATCTATCTATCTATCTATCTATCTATCTATCTATCTATCTATCTATCTATCTATCTATCTATCTATCTATCTATCTATCTATCCATCCATCTATCTATTGTGTAATACATACAACATACAGTAACCACAACACAGTATATATAATATATGGTAAACAGAGCACAATAGAGCAGAAATGAACAACCTCAGTCAGACATGACAATCAGAATCATACTGCTAGTGTTTTTAGTACTTTGCATTATTATCAATAATAACAAAGTTGCTTATGATGAAAGTATTATTCTGTGACCAATGCAGCAGTGATATCAATAATAATGAATGTAATAACAGTAATTATAATAATGACATATATCCATCACATGCATATATCCTATCTTCTGTGTCAGTGATCATGTTTATTTAAATGAGTTAATGAATAAATACATTTTTCATTCCACTCCATCATCTTCCTCTTCATGGTTTATTAAATGTACATGTGCGTATGCCTAATTTGAGGCGGTGCTTTAAAATTAACATGCAGAACATTTAAAACAAGATGTGTGATATCTGGTCGTTGCAGATTTGAAAGTGTATTTTAAGTGTATATATTTATGTGCATTGTTAATATTTTTACCGTTCACAGTCCGAAATTACCACAACTAAATTAATATTTTGTATATTTTAATAATTTTGTAGTTTTTTTTTTGAAAGAACTGGTTTAAATTTAAATGTAATTTCTTTCTATTCCTAAAGATGTTCTGCAAAAAACTCTTATTTTAATAGGTGTAACGGTTTAATAAAACTGTTTTGTTTAAAAGCACCCAAATATATTATCTATATTCACTGAGAAGTGGATAGAAATATTAATTTATTGAAAGGGAGTGTGCTCATTTATGCTGAGCACTGTACATATCACACATAATTGAATGTCTAACCTGAAGTGTGTATGTGTGCGCAGAGTATGCAACGTGCGGCCTCCTCTGATGCGCTAAGCTCCGCCTCCAGCATGTTTGATGACACACCCCGCAGAAACTCCGCCTTGTCTGGTGGCATGGCTCACATAAGCCACTCCTACTCCATGATCCTGCCGTCACAGAGAACTGCTACAAACGGCCAGGTGAGAGACACACAGACACACACATCATCTCTAGGCGTTTCAGCTTGGTCCCTTATTCATCAGGGGTCGCCACAGTGGAATGAACCACCAACTATTCCAGCATATGTTTTACACAGTGGATGCCCTTCCAGCTGCAACCCAGTACTGGGAAACACACTCATTCACACAAACATTCATACACTACGGCCAGTTTAGTTGATCAATTCCCCTATAGCGCATGTGTTTGGACTGGCCAACACGGGGAGAACATGCAAATGGAGGTCTAAAAATGTTGAACTGTTTGCTTCATTGCGGGGGTGATTTAAAAGTACAGTAGCACAGAAAAGATGACGTGATCAGGCATTAATAAAGCATGTGTTTGTAATATTTTGCACACTGTGTCATATTTTCCATGCAGTCGGACTACAGGGTGGTGGTGGAGCCGCCGTCATCAGACAGCTCACCCGACAGCGAAGGAGTGACGCCGGTGAGCTCATTTAATCCATCGCACTTCACCTTTTATACTTCCCTTCATATTTTAATTTCATATCAAGAGTTCACACTTAGCTGATGATTGATTATAGAGCTTGTTTGGCATGCTGTCCCAGGAGAGAGCCCTGAGCTAATGAGATCCTCGAGTTCTGGGCTCCCCCCCCCCCCCGTATGCAAGGCGAAAGGGGAGTTTGAGCTCAGGTAGATCTTCATGAACTCCCCCCACCTTATCTCTGGCTGATGGCAGATATAGGATGGCTAAGGAGAGGTGTACTTGATAAGAGCTTGGCTATGATATCCACTTGGCATATTCAATTTCTTTTGGTTGCATGTTTTTTGGACTGTGGGAGGAACCCGGGGAAAACCCACGCGAGCAAAGGCAGAACAAGCAAACTCCGCACAGAAATGTCGTCTGTGCAGAAGGGACTTTTGTCTAACAGGAGACATCCTTGCTGTAAGGCAACAGTGCTAATCACTGGGTCGCTGTGCTGCCCATCTGGAAAGGAGGGGGAGTAGGGGTGGGTAAAGGGGGGATTCTTCAAGACAAAGATATTGAGATAAGAGAACTCTGGGTATTTATAGTTAGGAATCATCTGATTGGATAATCAGTCATGAACTGATGTGGGACCAGCTGAGAACAATCATAAGCACATGATCCTCATATCTTATATTACAATTGGGCTTGCCATGCCAGACTAATTTGGGAATGGTTCATATCTTACAATGACCTATGCCCTAGTGTGGATTCCTGGGCCTGCGACCCACTATCTGTCTGGAGTTTGTTTGCTTGTCCCCACAAGTATAAAGAGACGGTGAAGAAAAACCCAATACTTTACAGCTCTATTAAAGTTTGGCGACAGATTTCCAGGTTTTTGGGGAGGGGGGAAGCTATATTTATGTTAAAACCAATTTATTTAAATCAGGACTTTGTCCCTGGCATAGATTCACCTCTTTTCAAAACATGGCACATAAAGGGAATTCGTATTCTATCTGACTTGTTCTAGGATGACTCTTTAATGTCCTTCCAACAATTACAAAAAAAATTTGATCTCCCTAACCAACATCACTTTGGATATCTGCAAGTTCGTCACTATGTTATGTCAAAACAAAAACAAATACCAGAAACATTAGCACTTAATAGTTTGGTAAGTTTTCTTGCTAACACAACAAATGCTGTCCATTTTATTTCTAGATTTTACTCTTTTCTACATTCTAATATCTCTGGACTTGTGAACACAGTGGCCCATAAGTGGGAGGAAGACCTGTGTAATGTTTATATAGATTATGACTGGCATGAGGCTTTGAGGTGTATTAGATCCACTTTTATTTGTAATCGACTTAGAGAGACTCAATATAAGATTTTACATAGGCTGCATATAACACCAGTGTTATTGAATAAAATAGATCCCTCTATACCAGCTCTTTGTGTTAAGTGTCATACAGAGCTTGGAACATACTTTCATTGTTTCTGGAAGTGCAAACTCATTTCAAGATTCTGGAACTTTGTTGCGTATGAAATTAGTACAATTTTTAAGATCAAATTAAAAAAAGATCCTGGTCTTTTTCTTTTGGGACTCCCTTCTAAAACAAAAGCAATGTCATTGACCCTTGACACCAAAGGTTATAAATTGTTAGATAAATTGCTACTTGTGGCAAAAAAATGCATCCTTATTAGATGGATAAAAAACACTCCCCCCACTGTGACACAATGGTACAGAGAGATTTTTGCGGTTTTGCCCCATGAGAGGCTTTCAGCTGTGCTTAATGACAACATACAAAGTTTTCAAAATATATGGTTTCCTTTTATAGATCACTTGCCCTCACATGTGAGGGAAATAGTTTTGTGTGTTAATTAGGTTTTTGTTTTGTAGAGGAGGGTGGTCAGAGGCTCAGAGAATGGTCTTTTGTTTTTTGTTTGTTATTTTTGTTGTTGTTTTTTTTATCTTCTTTTGTTCTGTTCTAATGTTCTTTTTTTCAAATGACATGTCCATATTATTAGGAATGTGCTGTGATGAGGAAAATATATATTTAGTTGTGTGTGCCTTTTCAGGGACTATATGACTAATTGGTTGCCAATATTGATACTTATAGATAGTATGACGTTTCCCTTTTTCCTTTTTTTTTCCCTTACCTCCATATATCTGCTGGCTTGTTTTAAAGGATTACTACAATTCTTTGCACATTTTTGTAAAACTTGCCTTTGATTATGTCTGTAAAAGCACATTGTACAATTTTTTGAAAACCTTAAATAAACATGTTTTACTTGGAAAAAAAAAAGGCACATGATCCTCTCGAAATTGGTTTATAAATAAACTTCACTCAGGTTTTAGTACAGGGTGGGCCATTTATATGGATGCACCTTAATAAAATGGGAATGGTTGGTGATATTAGCGTCCTGTTTGAGGCACATTAGTATATGTGAGGGGGCAAACTTTTCAAGATGGGTGGTGACCATGGTGGCCATTTTGAAGTCGGCCATCTTGGATCCACCTTTTGTTTTTTTAATTAGGAAGAGGGTCATGTGACACATCAAACTTATTGGGAATTTCACAAGAAACTTAACTTAACTTGACTTAACTTTATTCTGTCATGAGTTAATTTCAAGTTTGGCCCATTGTGTTGGATTGTCAATGCAACCCTCTTCTCCCACTCTTCACACACTGATAGCAACACCGCAGGAGAAATGCCAGCACAGGCTTCCAGCATCCACAGTTTTTCAGGTGCTGCACATCTTGTATCTTCACACCATAGACAATTTCCTTCAGACGACCCCAAAGATAAAAGTCTAAGCGGATCAGATCGGGAGACTCTGGGGGCCATTCAACTGGCCCATGACGACCACTTTTTTTTTTAGAAAACTTGGTCCTGGAGGGCTGGTGTCCTGCAGATTTTAACTCCAACTTGCCTCAACACACCTGCATGGATGTTTCTATAAAGCCTAGTAAGAGCTTTATTAGCTAGCCCAGGTGTGTCTGATTGGGGTTGGAACTAAACTTTGCAGGACACCGGCCCCCCAGAACCAAGCTTGTGCACCACTGGTTTACACTAAAGACCAACATTGACCCATTGTGTGTGTGTGTGTGTGTGCTTTTGTGTGTGTGTGCAGGAACTGGAGAAGGCTGGCCTGCTCAACAAAACCAAGATAGCAGAAGGAGGCAGGAAACTGAGGTGAGCTTATCTACACACATACACACACACACACACACATATACACACGGACATATACACATGCACTTGCAGGTACACACACATGCACACATATACACACACACATACATGCACAGACACACACATACACATGTACATGTACATAGACATGCAAACACACTATTTTTTTCTCTCACACACACAGACCCTCACACACTCTTAAACTTTTTCTTTCTCATATACACACGCTCTTTCTCTCTTACACACCCTCACTACCTCATTCTTGCACACACCTTGGCCTTAAACACACTCTTGATTGTAATTATAAGAGTCACCACAGACGGTTGGAGATTACAGCCAGAATTAGTCCATTTCTACAGAAAAACAGCGTCTTAAGGCACGATCAAATGCAGAGATACAGTGCAGAAGAAATGTGGTGTATTCTGGTACAACACTGACACGATTTCCATGTTATCAGAAAAACAACTACACATAGTGAAGTTTAGAAATGCTCAAAACTTTAAGCAGTTCAGTTACACTCACTGGCCACTTTATTAGGTACACCTTACTATTACCGGGTTGGACCCCGTTTGCCTTCAGAGCTGCCTTAATCCTTTGTGGCGTAGATTAAACAAGCTACTGGAAATATTCCTCAGAGGTTTTGCTCCATATTGTCATGATAGCATCACACAGTTGCTGCAGATTTGTCGGCTGCACATCCATGATGCCAATCTCCCGTTCCACCACATCCCAAAGCTGCTCTATTGGATTGAGCTCTGGTGACTGTGGAGGCCATTTGAGTGCAGTGAACTCATCGTCATGTTCAAGAAACCAGTCTGAGATGATTGAGCTTTATGACATGCTGTGTTATTCTGCTGGAAGTAGCCATCAGAAGATGGAGACACTGTGCTCATAAAGGGATGGACATGGTCAGCAGCAATACTCAGGTAGGCTGTGGCGTTGATGCTCAATTGGTACTAATGGACCCAAAGAAAATCTCCCCCACACCATTACACCACCACCACCAGCCTGAACCGCTGATACAAGGCAGGATGGATCCATGCTTATTTTGTTGACTCCAAATTCTGACCCGAGCATGTGAATGTGTCAGCAGAAATGGAGACTCATCAGAGCAGCAACGTTTCTCCAATCTTCTATTGTCCAGTTTTGGTGAGTCTGTGTGAATTGTAGCCTCAGTTTTCTGTTCTTAGCTGACAGGAGCGGCACCCGGTGTGCTCTTCTGCTGCTGTAGCTCATCTGCCTCAAGGTTGGACGTGTTGTGTGTTCAGAGATGCTCTTCTGCAGAGCTCGGTTGAATCGAGTGCTTATTTGAGTTACTGTTGCCTTTCTATCAGCTGGAACCAGTCTGGCCATTCTCCTCTGACCTCATCAACAAGGCATTTGCGCCCACAGAACTGCCGCTCACTGTATATTTCCTCTTTGTCAGAGAATTCTCTGTAAACCCTAGAGATGGTTGTGCGTGAAAATCCCAGTAGATCAGCAGTTTCTGAAATACTCAGAGCAGCCCGTCTGACACCAACAACCATGCCACGTTCAAAGTCACCTAAATCCCCTTTCTTCCCCATTCTGATGCTCAGTTTGACCTGCAGCAGATCGTCTTGATCATGTCTATATGCCTAAATGCAGTGAGCTGCTGCCATGTGATTGGCTGATTAGACATTTGTGTTAACAAGCAGTTGGACAGGAGTACCTAATAAAGTGGCCGGTGAGTGTATTTTAGGCCATTGAATAAATAATAATAAAAACATGATTTTGAATGACAGAATGTTTATTACTATACATTAATGTTTATTATGATCATACCTGAAGCAAAAATGACGTCTTTAACATTGTGTGTGTTTTCAGGAAAAACTGGAACCCGTCGTGGGTGGTTCTGGTGGGAAACAGTCTGGTGTTCTTCAAAGACCCAAAAAGCCAGAATCCTGAGAGCTGGGTGAGAATAACAGGGAATATCTCTGCATTACTTCAGCTGAAGTCAGAATTATTCGCCCTCCTGTAATTTCTTGTTCAAATATTTTTCAAATGCTGTTGAACAGATTCAGGATATGTTCACAGTATTTCCTGTAATGTTTTTTCTTCTGGAGAAAGTTTTATTTGGGCTAGAATAAAAGCAGTTTTTAATTGTTTTAAACCCATTGTAATGTTAATATTATTAGGCTTTTTAAGCAATATTAGTGTTGGATTGTCTCCAGAACAAACCACTGTTATACAATGACTTGCCTAATTACTCTAACTTTACCCTAATTAACCTAGTTAAGCCTTTAAATGTCTCTTTAAGCTGTATAGAAGTGTCTTGAAGAATATATAGTCTAATACAGGGGTTTTCAAAGTGTGAGGCGCGCCTCCCTTGGGGGGCGCCAGAGCATGTCAGGGGAGGCGCGGGAAAAAAATTATATAATAAAAATATAATTATTAAGTTGAATTATTACATGTATTTCTTATTATATTTAAACGTTTTGATTAAACAAAGCTAAAAAAAATAATACGTCAAAAATAAGAAAACCTTTTTTACCCAGAAGGCCATAGCTGTGAATTCGCTTCTGTTTGGCAAGCCCGCCATACAGGTATATGCCTGCTAACACAATGGATTGGTTTCTGAGACGCCCCGATTCAAAGCCTTCAAGTTCAGGGCTTAAACCCAAAAGACGACGATATGATGATCAGTATTTGAGTTTAGGATTTACGTGGACAGGACCAGCTGATGAACCACGACTTTTATGTGTGGTTTGTCAAGATATTTTGGCTAATGACAGCATGAGACCCGCTAAACTTCGACTGTTTTGACTGGGATGGACAGTTCTTGGATCTGTTCTATTCATATTGAACCATCATTCTAGTTTTAAAAACGTTATATTAAAATACTTATTATTACTCTGTAAATAATTGCACTTTCATGCAAATGATGATAAAAGTGAGTTAACAGTCTGAGTCTTTATATATACTGTATATGTATACATATATATATATGTGTGTGTGTGTGTGTGTGTGTGTGTGTGTGTGTGTGTGCGTGTTTGGGAGGAGGGGGGCGCCAGTGGATGGTTGTGTCAAAAGGGAGGCCCACGGTCTTAGACTTTGAAAAACCCTGGTCTAATATTATGTGCTGTCATCATGGCAAAGACAAAATAAATCAGTTATTAGAAACGAGTTATTAAAATGATCATGATTAGAAATGTATTGGAAAAAAATCTTAACAATAAACAGAAATTGGGAAAAAAATACAGGGAGGCTATAAACCTCAAGGATCAACAGATACAAAGAGATGATGCCAACCATAGAGGACTTCTAGAGGTCTCCATAACACCCCGTTCACACGGGGCTTCAGCGTCAACGCTTGACAGGGGGCGTGTCTGAAGTTGGGGCTGACGCGATCATTACAGCAGCATCAGCCAATGAAATTAGTCAGCAATAGGCCACTGCCTGAGCTGGTGTATTTGCATACAGCGATCTGATTGGCTGTAGCTTCCGCCCACGGATCCACAATGCAGTTTGGCAACACCTGACGTCACCCATTCAAAGTGAATGGGAAGCGTTGAAGCTGACGCCTTGCATGAATGGGACATAATCCTGGACCAGGCCGTATCCTGAGCTGATGCTGTGGTGGTCATGAGGAGTGGAGAGACTGATTCCTGAAAGACCCCAGTGACAGACGAGTGTCCGCATTGATCCCATGGACCAGCATGATCACATGCCGGTGCCTTACTCACACCTGCAGGTTCTTCACGGTGGACGTCCAGCGTTCTCCAGCCTCCGGCGCCTAGACTGCAGCTCTGCACAAGACGTTTGGCCAGAGGATAAAAGGTCATACCCAACTGAGCCTGGTTTCTCTCCACGTTTTTTTTCCTCCACTTTGGTCAGTTGGTGAAGTTTGTTCCTTCACTGTCGCCACTGTTTGGTGCTTGTGGAGCTGCGCATGGATGGATTTGCTCTTCAGTGGTTGGACTTTCAGCTGTGAAAATTAAACCACACTGAACTGAGCTAAACCGAAGCTCAACTCTGAAACCTGAACTACACTGTTTACATTTACTAGAACTCCTGTGTTTAGCTGCTGCAACACAATCGACACTGTAAAAGCACTAGAGAAGTAAAGATGAACTGTTGCTAATAATTCAGAAGGGCTAATAATTGTAACTTCAATTGTGTTTATATGCAGAAACCGGGGAACAGTCGTCCAGAGAGCAGCGTGGATCTGAGAGGAGCTCAGCTTCAGTGGGCCAATGATCTGTCCAGCAAAAAAAACGTCTTTAAGGTGACTTAGAGACACAAAGACAGAGAAATGAGACTTCAAATAAGCTCAAATGTATATGGGGTAATGTACATCCAGCTGAATGAAACCTGACAGGAATATCAGCAGCTGTTGCAGAAGACTGAAGCCAATAACAACCAGCTGGATGTACATTATCCTGATTATTACACAGCTACTGGCCTCAAAACTAGCTATTAGACACGAAACACTGATCTGATATGTATATATACAGTACAAGCTGCAACCCAGTACTGGAAAACACCCATACACACTTATACACACACATACACTCATACACAACGGGCAATTTAGTTCATCAATTCCCCTATAGCGCATCTGTTTGGACTGTGGGAGAAACCAGAGCACCCGGAGGAAACCCACGCCAACACAGCGAGAACATGCAAACTCCTCACAGAAATGCCAAATGGTCCAGCCAGAACTCTAACCAGCAACCTTCTTGCTGTGACTCCACAGTGCTAACCACTGGGCCACCATGCCACCCCCTTAATTTGGGCTTTAAATATTGAATTAGCTGCATCTCTGCCAAATATTGCACTCCAGAAATCAGTTGAAGGCTTATTTAATCAACATGTAGGTAATGTGTAAATCTCGATTTCTCTTATGACTGGTGTTCTGGTCCTGTGTCATATATATATTGTCATATTGTAATGTAGATTAGATTGGTATTATCCAGTTGAGCCTGTGTTAAATGGATTGCTTTTGCAGTTTTGTGATCGACCAATCAGAATCCAGTATTCCAGAGAGTCATGTAACGATCATGCAACGATACTAAAATTAAAGAAAGCAACAGATACTATATTATTAATGAATCAGTGTTTGTGTGCTACTATATGTGTGTGCTAATGTGTGGTGGTAACATTCAGCTTGTAGTTCCTCCTTTACTTCCTCTGTTATAAATTTAAATGTTGAAGAAGCTTTGTGTGTGTTTTATGGTCACGTAGTTGAGGACGATAACAGGAAATGAGTTCTTGCTGCAGTCGGAGACGGACTCCCTCATTAGAGAATGGTACAGAACCATCCAGAACGTCATCGACAGACTGGTGAGACTCAAAAAAATAAATAAATAAAACATCACACACACACATGTACACGCGCACAAAGACACACACACACACACGCGCACACACACACACACACACACATACACACACACACACACACACACACTTTCTTTCTTAGGCATGCACACAATCTCTATCAAACACACACACACACACACACACACACAAAAGTACATGTACACACAAGTGAACATGCAAACACACACAGACACACACACACACACAAGATCAGCTATTGTAATCTAACAATGACCGCATTTTATTCACTGTTTTGTCTGCACCTTTTTGGCTTCATTCGCAGTCTGCTGTGACCACAAATCACCGCCTGCTGCCCACAACAACGGTTAATTCAGCTGAACTCCTCAAGCCCGTCTTCCGGGCCTCTGCCTGCACATTGGGCTGTTCTCAGGGTAAAAAAACAGCCTCCCTCAGGGCTATTCAGCCTGTCAGCTCACTCTGGGTGGTTTAGACGGTCGGACAGGGTATTTGGCGACAGACCAGCAGTTGTAGTGACCGGTGCCCGTCTATCTTTCTCCCTCACACTTCTCTCGCTCTAATTTAGTTTGACACTGTTTAGTCGA